ATAAAAACACCACAACATGAGGAACTGTATTAAAGGGACGCGGCATTAGGAAGGTTGAGAACCACTGTTTTAATATTAAACACTTAATAAATGTGTGCAACAGGGGATAGGAGGGATCAGCCTTAAATAGATAAGCTTGGCCCTTATGCTGGGAGGAGGGGAAAATAGGTCTAGGTCAGTGGTCCACTGAGGGCCATTTTGCACCCCCCCCGCCTCCCCGGCTTACATTCCCAGGAAGTCAATTGGCAATATTAGGAGACATTTTTGTTCGTCATAATTAAGGCTGGGTGCTCCTGGCATCTAGAGAGGTGGAAGCCAGGGATGCTGCCGACATCCTACAGTGCTTGAGACAGGAAAGGCTGATCTGGCCCAAAATATCAATAGTGCCCAGGCTGAGAAACTAACCGTGGTCTGGGTGATTAATGTCCAGTGACATTAGGGAAAAGTTTACTCTTTGCTCCTAGGCCTAATTCAGTCATTAAAAAAAGAAGAGATGTACTGGCTTTGGCAAGACATACCTGGGTTCTACTCTGTCTCTACCGTTTGTTGGTGGTGTAACTGGACAATTTGGCTAATCCCCCACACCTGTTTCTTCATCTGTAAAGTGGGGTTGAAGTCCCTGCCTCATTGGTTTGTGGTGAGAATTTTAACAAGTGAATGCACTTAAGTCCCTGCCTAAGGTTATAGTCAGAGGCAGAGCTGGGATATTACTCCTAGAGCAGAGGTGGGGTAGGGAGAGGCTAATGTAACCTGCAAGGTCAGGCAGTAACAGTGGAAGGTATCGGGTTTGGGGTAGATTTTGAATGAAGATCAGGATCAACTGATGGATTGGCTGTGGGCTGGGAAAGGAGAATCAAGGATGACCAAGATTTTTGGCAGGAGAAGCAAGGTAAATGAAAGCCCTGGTTACTGAAATAGGAAGGACTGCAGGTAAAATAGGTTTCTAAAGAAAGGTATTAAGACCTTGGTTTTAGAAAAGTCAAATTTGAGGTGACTGTTAGAAATCCAAGTAGAGAATTATTGTGGACAGTTTGACATCTGAATCTGCAGTTTGGGCAAGAGGTGGGCCCCAGATAGACGTTGGAAATTGAAGAGAGACAGTGTCTGAGAAGAGGTGTAAGGTCTGGCCTCTGGTGATTAGAGGGTGGCAGGGAAGAAATTGCAAAGGAGCATGGGAAGGAGGAATAACAGGAGAGTGTATCTGAGAGCTGAGCGGAGAAAGTGTTTTGGCGAGGAGGAAGTGATCAGCTGTGTCTTATGCTGCCAAGAGGTCTTGTGGGGTGAACACTGAGAGCCCTTAGTTGGCATTTAGAATGAGAGGGAAGAAAGACCGATTAAATATTGTATGTCAACTATAATGAAAAATAAGTTTAAAAAGAAAGGCGGATTAGAGTGGATCCAAGAGAAGGTGGGGAAAGGCAGAGGTGGAGATGGGGAATAGAAATGGCTCTTGGGAGATTTACTGTTAAGGGGAACAGAAAAATGGGCCTGTTGTTGGCGTTTAAACCCAGAAGTACTGTTGTCAGTTTTGTTTGACCCAGGAGAGAGAGAGGTGAGGTGGATGAGAGAGAAAGGAGGTGTGGGCAAAGCTAGGCACAGTTGGGCAATGCAGATTCCCTTGTGTTTGGTGGAAGGTGTTTGATTGGGCACAGGGAGCAAGAAGACTGGACCACTCCTGGCTCCTGGCTCCTGGACCCTTGGGGTGGGCCCCTGCCTATGGGAAGGGGTCAGGGCTTGATATCTTCAGGCCCATCACCCGCTGTACACTCTGGTCCTTATTTTCTCTGTGTGAAATGGAGATGGTGACAGCTCCCAAGGCACCCTGTGAACTTGGTGCCTGGAGTTGGGAGAGAGAAGGCAGAGCCCCGCAAAGGGCCTGGCATTGGTGACAGCTGCTCAAGTCAGTTCGGCTTCTTCTGAGGACACATGGGTCTCACGTGGGCTCACAGCAGTAGGAAGAGGCAGGGATGGACAGGGCAGACAATTCAAAGGGAGAGTCATTCACTTGGGAGCTGACAGGCAGAGGGAGATGATGCAGCAAATGAAAACAGGAGGGACAGGGAGCAACAGCCAGGTGGCAGCTGACAGTATTATCTCCTGGGTCTGTGGATCGACTGGGCTCATCTAGGTGGTTCTGCTGATTTTGCTTAGAGTTTGGTGCAGTCAGACGGCAGCTGGGGCTTTGCCATCACATGTCCAGTGCCTCAGTGCTCCTTCCGTGGCCTCTCCCCACATGTCATTTCACCTGCCAGGTCCTTTCTTTGCAGTGAGGTCATCAGACTTCCTGTGGGATTGCTGGTTCCCAGGGGCACAAAGCAAAAGATGTTGGGTCTTCTCATGGCTTCTGGCTGGTCCTGACTCTACGTTCTGTTAAATAAACTGAGTCATGGGGCCAGTCCAGAGTCAGTGTAGTCAGACAACTGCACAAGACCAGGAATACCAGGCAGCAGTTTCTGGATGCATGAGGAGGGGTGGGCCACCAATGTGAGTTGGCCACGGTCACCTAGCTAGTAAGTGTGGTGTCAGGTACAGCCCCAGCTCTCTCTGGCTCTGCATCCCACACTCTTACCAGGTACCATTGGGTGTTGGGAATGAACGCTGAGCCAGGCCATGGTTGTGCTGGATACATAAGCTAGAATCACTCATGAAGGTGATCTGTATCTTGTAGCCCTCCTGGCACTGTGAACATTAGATGGGTACTGTCACTCAGGCCTACTATGTGTCAGGCCCTTTGCTCATTTCTCATCCTTCCTCAAACCCCATCTGGGACTTTCTTTTTCTGAAAAAATGGCAATTCTGCCAATTGCCCAAGGAAGCATTTGTACAGCTCCCAGTAGTAGTCGTGCTAGTACATTTCCTGCCACTCATGACCAGAGTTTCTAGTGGGATGTGTTGTAGCCAGGTGTCCCTGTCAGACCAGCCTGAGTGGATTTGAGGGACCTGAGACCTCCAGCTGTTGTAGGTGTGAGAGCCAGGCCAGCTGGGGCTCCAATCTTCCACCCTGTGCTATGTCTCACCTGCATTCTCTCCTCTCTTCAGCAAATGGAAAGGATCCTGAAGAAAGCCTCCAAAACCCACAAGCAAAGAGTGGAGGTAAGTCATGCATCCACTGGGGGAGGCTGAGTCCTGTAGGTCCCAACGGGGCCCAGAGGCTTGGAGCCAGGCAGAGGAGTCACTGGAGTGTCAGTGGGGGGCGGGTTTACCCAACCTCCCTGGGGTCAGTGAAGGGAGAGGCCAGGGTTCCGGCGGCTCTAAGGCCTGGCAGGGTGGCTTTAAGAGCAGGGGGCTCACTGAGGAGAGACAGGGTAAAGTGGGGGTGGATGGTGGCATGTGTCCCTAGTAACCCTGCTGGGTGCTGTGATGACATGGGCTTTTTCTTCCGCTTCCCCAGGACTTCAACAGACACCTGGATACACTCACAGAGCACTATGACATTCCCAAAGTCAGCTGGACGAAGTAGCCTTCCCACCCAGAGTATGGGTGGCACCGAGGGGAACAGCAGGCCAGGTTGGGGTTATGTGTGGTGCCTGTGGTATTTTCTAGAAACACTCTACACACACCCTGCATCTTCTGCTGAGACAGTGCTTTTCAAAGCAGTGTGCCCTCATTCTGGAACTTGATTAAAGTAAGACTATCCTTGTACTCTATTTTAGTTTCTCAGTAGCACATTGACGATGAAGCTTTTTAGTTCAGACTGGAAATTATTGAGAGTTTATTCAGAGGTTAAGTAGAAGTGTTTTTACACCCAAGCTGCATCTAACTCATGTTGACAGTCCACCAGCTGTCTCTGCCTGGAGGAAACTGCCCTCAGAGGAGAAGGAACTGCAAGTGCAGACCCTCACGGGGCCCTGCATGTGCTGCCCTTCCACGTTCCCTCTAGCTGGGGCTTATGCGGTTCCATCCAGGGCCTGGGGAGGCCATTCGCCTGTGGCCTTCAGACTGCCTCAGCCCAGCTGGCCAGGGAGCAT